CTCTCAGATAAAGTCTAAAAGCACATTGTAAATGTAGTTAGACCTGCTTTATCTGCCAAGCTTGAACCACTATCTCGCTGTTTTAAGGTTGAACTTCTTTTTTCTACAAATACTATCATGGTCAATGTTCAAACAAGCTATTAGGATAAACCAAAACTCATTCTTACTTGGCTTCTCATTCAACAAGTTCCATCCTTTTACTATATCTGTCCCTTCATGCTATAAAAACTTTTATTAATTCAGTATTTTGCCCTTGCACATCAAAAAATCTTTTTAACTCTTCGCCATTTTTGTGTTTTCATTTTTAATACATCCTGCAACTTTTTAAGTTTTCAGTTAACCATTTTCTAGTATTTTAACCTGTCCTCTATTTTAAAGTAACTCATAACTTAATAGTGGTAGCTTGCAATCTTGTTGAAAATAAATTAGATTTTAAAAATATATAAATATATGTCAGTATGTAATAAATAGTAAATGTAAGTATAAAATTGTAATACAAAAAGTAATATAAATTTTTTTCTATCCCCGGCTATCCCTTGCTAAATCATATAATTTTTCCGGGATTGGGTTTGCAAAAAGTCTCACTTTTAGCCATGGCCAGGGCCCCTGTCACTTACTAGTGATAAGACGAGATATGCAACTCAAAATAACAATGATGATTTAAACAACAATATTCAGCTGATAGCAAAGGAGTTAGCTGATTTTCAAACTAGTGATTGGGTTGTTATTGAATTATGCAAAAGTATCCTGCAATAATTCAAAATGTAGGACATTGTAACACTATAATATTGTATTTTTGAGACCTCAAAAATACAATATTATAGTGTTACAATGTCCTACATTTTGAAACCTCTTTTTGAATTTTTTGAAACCTCTTTTACTCAGATCTATTTATTAATAAAGTTGGAAAATAAAATAAAAAGCACTGGAATATAAAACCTCTTTTTGAATTTTTGAAACCTCTTTTTGAATTATATTTTTTTGAAACCTCTTTTTGAATTTTTTTGAATTGAAACCTCTTTTACTCAGATCTATTTATTAATAAAGTTGGAAAATAAAATAAAAAGCACTGGAATATAAAACCTCTTTTTGAATTTTTAAAACCTCTTTTTGAATTATATTTTTTTGAAACCTCTTTTTGAATTTTTTTGAATTGAAACCTCTTTTACTCAGATCTATTTATTAATAAAGTTGGAAAATAAAATAAAAAGCACTGGAATATAAAACCTCTTTTTGAATTTTTGAAACCTCTTTTTGAATTATATTTTTTTGAAACCTCTTTTTGAATTTTTTTGAATTGAAACCTCTTTTACTCAGATCTATTAATAAAGTTGGAAAATAAAATAAAAAGCACTGGAATATTGTTGAACAGAATACTGATCTTAAAAATATATGGCCAACTCCACCTATTGCCAGTTTCAAAAACATCAAATCGATCAAGAAATTTCTAATCCAGACGGCGTATAAAAAAACATAAATAAAAAATCTATTTTTTCTTTACTAAGTTTCATTTCCTAATTGTTACTATTTACATACTATTATTGGTTTACCTTATAGTTTTATTTATAATTTACTAGTTTTTTAATAAAATTTTATCAGGAGTTTGTTATGGTCTCAAAATTACATTAAAATCGGACCGTAGAGAAACCTTTACTTCTCGGATATTTTGATTTAAAAATGGTCTCAAAGTTACTTGTAATTCGGACCGTAGAGAAAACTTTACTTTTTTGCAATATTTTTCCCGCTTCGTATATCGTTTTTATATCGCGACTTATATGACTGTTACATCGCCCAAAATAAATTTTTAACCACTCATTTATTTTAAATTTATCTGGCTTTGTTATAGTATTTAGTTTTTCTTATTGCAATATTCATTAATATATTATTTATCTGCTGATTTTCATATTATTACTGTTTATTATGAATTTTTATGATTTATTATCTTGCATTGATTACTCAACTTTATTTGAATTTTCATATGCACAATTTTCATCTTTTATTATTATTCAGAGGAATTTTTTATATCCTTCATTTAATGTCTACATTTATGCCGGTTACTTTATTAAAGTCTTTGTGCGACGATTTTTTCGCAACCACACATTGTTCTATCATTGTTATGATTCTAGGTTTCGCGGGTTTTTCATTTTCCTTTACTTTTGATTGGTTATCACATTTCGAACGAGGTATCTATGACAGCGTTAGAGTTTATTTACGGCTATTGTTGTTTTGTTGATTAAAAAAAATTTTTTTTTAATGAGGTATTCTGATTTCTGTTTATCTTTGGATTATTTATGCTATTAATACCTATCTGGTTTTAGATCTTAAATTGAATTTATTTATATTTTTATGTTTCGATTAGAATTTTAATTTATTGTGCTTTCATGTTTTCTTTCGGTGGTATGGTAAGTGATTTATTTAGTTATTTTTATTTATTTTTTACAGTTTATCTACACTTTTCACATCATATTTTTAAAAAACATTAGTGTTTTACAAATTTTGGGTTGGTGGGGTTTTGGCTATTTGTAGTGAGTCCTTTTTTACTGCAGTATGGATAAGGCGTAAGTCGCGGGGTAAAGCACAAGTGGCGATGACGTTTGTCTGACGGGATAAACTAGTTATAAGTGCTGATCCTCATCGAAACGCCTGTAATAATAGACGCGACTCTGAGGAGATGTTTATTACTTTATCACTACATAATTATGTTTACACATTAGCATTAATGTTCTTTTTCCATTCTAAGGCCTTACATTGCTATCCATATTTTTTGTTTTTGTTTTTTATATTTTTGTTTTTGTTTTTTATTTTTAAGTTTTTTGTTTATCAATTTTTTGGTTTAAAAAAAATTTTTATTTTGGTTATATTTGTTGTATATCTTCGTACGTACTAGTTTTTTATATGATACAATTTTTTGTTATTGTTATTGTGAGTACTGCTTGGATGGGTTGTCTGTCTTACTTGTTTTGAAATTTTCCTCTATTAATCTTTATTTTTGTCTTGACAACTGTCAAAATATGCTTCGTTCAATAAATAATTCTTCTTTATTCTAATGTACTTCATTTCTTCCCTTGGGTGTTCACTGCTCGTGTGTGACCATTCGGCGAATTTTATATGCCAAAGTTTTTAAATATTATAAATTATATATAATATTATATTTCATATAATGTATTGTATTTTTGAGTATTAAACCTATTTTACTCAGATCTATAATTATTAATATATTAATAACATTTACTACCGAAACAGAAAAAAAGCCAAAACCGAAATGAATTTAGCTTTTCACCAAATTTATAAAAAGTACCAATATGGAAATTTCAGTATTCGTTCAAATTGAAACTTCTGCTAAAACCAATGCCTAAACAGAATTTCGGTCGATCACTAATAACATTAATTAAATGTAAGAATTATTCAGGAAGTACCAATCATTAGATGTCATTTTATTTTTTCTACTCAACCATTAGGTGATACACAATGGCATTAAAACTTTTCAAATGGAATATTCTAATGCACCTGGATAGAAGAAAAATTTCTTCCAACATTCATCTTTTGATGCTGTTTGTAGAATTAATGCATTTAGCAGGGGTTGATAGCCGGGGCTAGGAAAAATAACATTTATATTAAATGCTTATACACTTTTTTTAACAATGATACAAGCACTTCAATGTATTAGATGATTGGTTCTTTCTCTTATTGAAAAAGTTTGAAAAATTATTTTAGCAAGCACTCTTGTAGAGTTCCTTTATAAAAATATTTTTTATCTTAATTTTAATTAGGGTACTAACTATTAACGATGTAAAATAGCCACTTCTAAGAAATATCTAAACTGTTGCTAGGGTATTTTCTAAGTTCAAAATGTGGAAAAATCAGAATACTTCTAGGACTTCTGTACCCTTTTTATTTATTAATCACATGAATTTTTTTTTCAGATGTTAGAATATTCATGTATAAAGAAACCAAGTAACTTATACATTTAATGTCAGACCCAGGGTCCACGATTGTTACCAGTAATCTAACAAAGCGCATTAACCATATAAATCTATTTCTCAAAGTTTACTCCTTCCCAGGCTCTTGCATGCACATGATTTTTTTTTTGTATAAAATCAATGCATTTCAAAAATAATTAAGAAATTCGTGGGCATGTTATAGCCTTAGAAGATATTATTGCTCAAAGTACATGTAAAATTTCAAATTTAGCAGTTTCGAACCATGATTTCTAGACAATAAGTATAACCAAATTGAATTTTTATTTTTACTACCCGGAGTAGCAGAAAAATAAAAAAGGAATGGGTCTATCATATTCATGTTGCTAAAATTGCCCTTTAAAGTAGCAATTGCACTCCATGCACAAATATTTTTACAAAATGGGACAAATTTTGGGGCCCAATATCTCCACAATTAATAGCTTTCAAAAAAAAATTAACAGTGACCTAATTTCATTATTTGCTAAAAAATATCTAAAAATGAAGACAAATTCTCAGATAATGACTCTTAAGTATCCAAAGCAAATATAAGCAAATTGCAATAGTGAAGATTGAAGTTTGAAAATTGTTTAAAAAAAACAAAACAGTTAACGAATAAATTTAGAAAACTGTTTAGTGTTTACACAATTCTGACTTATGAATGTCATTATGTAGTGATGTTAACCAGCAACATTTAAACTTGAATGCCTAAAAATGGAAAAAGCTAAAGGTATACCGATTTTAAATTTTTCAGAAATATCTGCCTAATTAAAAAACTCAAATAATTAGGAAAAATTCTAGAATATGTCATGTTTATTTTTATTTAATATATATAAAAAAAAAGAAAAAAGTACATTTTTTAATTTGGTTGAATTACAATTAGCGTGCTTTTATATTTTTTTTAAATAAAACACTAAAATTGTAAGAAAGTTTTTTTAACATAGCCAGACAGTTACCCAGACTTTAAAGAGAACACCTGGGAGTTTTTAAAGCTGAATATTGGGTATAAAAACTATAAGTAACAAAAAAAGTCTCATTATCTACCTCATCTCTGTAATTTGGACAATTGTTCCAAGAGAACTTCCTGTTACATTTTTTGTAACTGTTAGAACCACTTGTTTTATCTAAACAATTATAACAATAGTAATAATAGTAGTAACAATAACAATAATGAAAGCAGTAATAGTAACAGAAATAAAAATATACAATAGTGGTGTAGTAGAAAAGCACTTGTTTCACAAGCAAAAAGTTCCAAGTTAGATCCATTTCATGTTTCCAAATAAGAGTATATAAAGAGAGTTTTAACCACAAAAAATATATAAAATAAAAAAAATAGCCTCTTTAACTGTTGTGGCCCCCTCAGCCTTGGGTAGGCAAATTGATTTAATGTATGGCTGCAGCATGGAATATAAAACATTTAGGTTGTTTTTTTTCAAGGATATGAGTCTGTGCACCATTTCTTATCCTTTTATATTTGAACTATTTTTATAGCTCTGACCTCTTATGTTTTCCACTGACAAAATATTTTTTTAAAAAGAATCAATGTTCACATTAGTTAATTCAAGTTATGTTAAACTTTCAATTAAGTAGAAACTACAAAAACGTTCTTTAATATGAATTTTGTTTTCACCTTTTTTATACATTTAAATAGTATTGACATATGCTCATAATCACTTAGTGATGATTACTTGGTCATGATTGGTGTACAGTCAATAATGTTAAAAAATACACTGCAATTTGGACAAAAAAGTTGATGTTAAAAAGTTTTTAAAGATTCTGAAGAGCGATCTGATTGTCTATCATTCCATTAGTCTTCTTTCTATCATAAGCAAAGTTTTTAAATCTTTTATTAACAAACACTTAATCTTACATCTTAAACCTAACAACTTATTTTCTGACCATCAATATATATATAATTTCTTCTCGTTCTACAGCTGATTTGCTAACAGTAATAAAGGATAGGTTTTATTGTGCATTAGATAGAGGTGGAGAGGTTAAGGCTATCACTCTTGATATTTTTAAAACTTTTGATAAAGTTTGGCATGCTGGTCTTCTCCATAAGCTTTCTTCTTACGGTGTATCAGGTAACATCTTCAAGATTATTGATTCCTTTCTTTCCAATCATAGTATAAAATTGTCCTTGATGGACAGCACTCTTCTTCATATCCTGTAACTTCAGGGGTACCTCAAGGTTCTATTCTTGGCCCTATACTCTTTTTAATTTACATTAACGATCTTCCAGATATTTTCACATCTAAAGTGGCATTATTCGCTGATGATATTACCATTTATTCTTACCTTGATATTCTTATCAAGTCAACACTCTCAGATTGCTTGGAGGAGGCATTTGAGCTTGATAAGAATCTCACTTCTGCTACAGCATGGGGCTCACAGTGGCTGGTTAGTTTTAATTCAGATAAAACCCAATATTTTTCAGCCAAGCATTACTGCAATAATTTAGATCTTCCTATATTTATGAAGAGTTATGTACTCAATGAGTCATCTACCCTTCGTCTTCTAGGATTAACTCTTACTCCCGATCTTTCTTGGGAACCATATATCAAATCCATTGCAAAATTAGCATCTGCTGAGATTGCATCTCTTTATCTTGCTTGCCATTTCCTCACTCCTAATTCTACTCTTTATTTCTATAAATTTCAAATTCGTCCTTGTATGGAATACTGTTGCCATAATTGGGGCAAATCTTCCAATGATGCTCTTTTTCTTTTAGACAAGGTGCAAAAACGCATGTAAACATAGTTGGACCTGCTTTTGCAGCCAAACTTCAATTATTATCACATCATCATAATGTTACCTCTCTTTTTCTTTTCTACAAATACTAAAATGAGCACTGCTATAAAGAGCTAGTGTCTTTTGTGCCATCTACTCAAATTCATTCTTGTGTTACTTGTCATTCAATTAAGTCTCATCCTTTGTCTGTCTCTATTCCTAAGTGCTCTAAAAACTCTTATTCGTCTGGCTTTTTTCCTCGAACATCAGTTCTTCGGAATTCGCATCCTTCATTTTGCTTTCCTGATTCATATAATTTGCAAACTTTTAAGTTGTCTGTCAATCGCTATCTTGTTGTATAAACTTCATCTTTTCTCTTCCAGTAACTTCCAACTCTTATAGTGGTTGCTTGCAGCATTGTTGGAAACGATGTTAAAAAAAAAAAGTTGTTTTTATTTACTTTTATTGTCATATGATTATTCAAAATATTTTTTAAATAAATTATTTTATTACTATTAAATATATTCTACAATAAAAAAAACAACCTTGAAGCAGAAAGTCACCAATATCTGCTATGGTAGATCTATGATAGGGAACGTATACTGACACACACTACTGTCTGTGTCAGTATATGTCTGTACACATAGCCAGTAGCATTTTTAAAATGATCAAATAGTGGATGTTAACAGTAAATAAAAAAATCTTTTTTTTTTTTAAGTTGTTAAAGGTTTTTTTTAAGTTGTTGTTAATTGCTGAGACAAGTTGTATTCATATTAAAGAAAATGTTTAAAAAAAACATTTGGACTAAATTTTTTGATTGAAACTAAATAATAAATGCATATCAACAAAATTAAAATTATTGTTTTAGTTGAAGCTCACCTTCTCCATTTTTTTAGTTCTCAGAGTCTGTATGTTAGCCGCAATCTGCAGACTTGATGATTTATTCCATGCATGTTTTATTCATAACAGTTTTGGTATATGACATTATCGCAATATCTTTTTAAGATAGCGTTTTTTTGTTGTTGTTTTTTTAAATATATAAGTATAATATAAGCGATAAGTATTTTTTCTACTACAAAATATTTGTATAATTTTTTACTAAATCACAAAAAATATTTGCGATTTAGTAAAAAATTACGCAAATGTATATATATATATATATATATATATATATATATATATATATATATATATATATATATATATATATATATATATATATATTTATATTTATATTTTTTTTTTACTTGCTTTATCATAACTTTGTCTTAGAAGCCAGCCAAAATCATGACATAATCATACAATTATTTTGTGATTTATTAGAGTTTGTAGGCAGGGAAAAAACGGCAGAATGATGCGGATTTTTGTTTTATACTTAGTTCATATGGTTTAATAGAGTTGTTCTTTTTATGTTTAATTTAAATTTAGTTATGGTTTAATTCTTTCACTATTGCAAGCCTCTGGTAACGGCTTTCAAGTATGCTTTACAATTTATCTTGTTTTGTACATAAATTTCCATTCTAGACACAGAATTTGTTTGCTCTAAAGGTTTAATTAATTCTCTACATAATTAAAAAAAAAAAGAGCTATATTGTGTAATTATAAAAAAGTTATCACAAAGTTAAAAAATCTTGAATGATCCTTCATTAAAAAAAACTTTAAATTAAGTTGTAAAATAAAACAGCGTTAACACTCTAAAACTTAACTTGTAGAAGTGTTAAGTATTTAGTTAAGTAATTACCAAAGTATTTTTACAAGAAAAAATATTACTTTTATTCATTAAATGAGGTTTGTTTCAGACCTAATGTTTTAGTTACTACTTATAAAAACAATGGTTTTAAGCACTTTGCATTTCTTATTGTTTAATGATGCGTGTTAAAAACTTCATTATTATCAAATTTTAATTGTCAATGTTATGCCATTCACATTTTATTCAAAAAAAAATGTGCAGTTGCTACAAAAAAATCTTTGTTAGGCTGGTAGCAAACAAGTTAATGTGATTCTTCATTTTTATATTTATATTATAACTATTATACTATAACTATACAAATATTTGTTTTAACTTTAATTTAGTTTGATTTGTATGGTTATTAGTAAAACAGTTTGTTTAATATTTATTTTTTGCTTAGTTGAGTTTATATGTTTTATTCAAGTCACTCGTTTTTTATTCATTTTATACTTTAAATTAATTTATACACTTTAGTAAAATTATTCTTTTAGTATCTAGTTTATAATTAGTTTAAACCAGTACATTTTACTGGAAATATTTGATATATATTAAATTTTTATTTTTATAAATTTAATTTTTAATTGCATCGCAAACTTTTATTTGGGATTTAATAAAAAGTTATATTCGAATAAATGATTTGGCAATTGCGGCAAAAAAATAATACAATATCTTGAAAGAAAAAATTTATACGATGATGTCATATACCAAAACTGTTATGAATTAAACGCGCATGAAATAAATTATCAAGTCTGCAGATTGTGGCTAACATTATACAGACTCCGAGAACCAAAAAAAAATTGGAGACATAACAAGTAACACAAGAATGAATTTTAGTAGATGGCACAAGAGACACTAGCTCTTTAGAGCAGTGCCCATTATAGTATTTGCAGAAAAGAGAAAGAGGAGCAACATTATGACAATAATGGTTGAAGGTTAGTTGCAAGAGCAGGTCCAATTATATTTACAATGCATTTTTGCACATTTTCTAAAAGAATGGCTATCATTAGAAAAACCGCTCCAGATATGGAAACAGATATGGAAAAAGATATGGAAAGGATTTGAGATTTACAAAGATAAAGAATAGAATCAGCAGTGAGGAAGTGGCAAACACAATAAGTAATGCAATCTCAGCAGATGCTAATTTTGCAATTGATTTGATATATATTTTTCTAAAAAGATCCAAATTAATCCTAGAAGATGAAGGCTAGATGACTCATTGAGTACATTTCCATTCATAAATATAGGAAGATCTAGACTATTGCGATAAGAATTAGCTAGAAATAATTGTGTTTTATATGAGTTAAACCTCACCAGCCACTAAGAACCAAAAGGCTGTTGCAGAAGCAATATCCTTTTAAAGCTCAAATACCCCCTCCAAACAATAAGAGAGTGTTAGCTTCTTTTCAAGACAAGAATAAATCGTAGTATTATCAGAATGTAATGCCACCATAGATGCAAGAATTTCTGGAAGATTGTTAATGTAATTTAAAAAGAGTATAGGTCCTAGGATAGCACCTTGAGGAACCCCTGAAGTTAAAGGATATGAAGAAAAGTGCTTTCCATCAAAGACAACTTTTATATTACAATAGGTAAGGAAGGATTTAATTGTCTTGAAGATGTTACCTGATACACTGTAAGAAGAAAGCTTATGAGAAGAATAGCATGCTAAACTTTATCAAAAGCTTTAGAAATGACAGGAACGATAGCCCTAACCTCTCCACATCTATTTAATGCATGATAAAACCTTTCAGTTATTACCTTTAACAGGCTAGAAAACGAGACACTGATAAGCGCTTGGTAAATAGTTTTGAAAGTATACACAACAGCTCCAGAGAAAACATCTGCAAGACTATAACAGGTATGTTGTCCAGACCACAAGCTGTGGAAGAGTCTTAGCAGGAAATCACTTTAGATACAGAAGCTGGAGATATACAAAGGTCGGGCAATGAATTAACCTGTTTGTTGGCTATATCAGGTAGAACGCAACTAGTGGAATCAAGAGAAAATCTTGATGAGAAGAATCTTAGCAAACAATTCAGCTTTGTCTTTAGGTGATGTAACAAAGTCTGAACCATACAAAAGAGGTGGAATAACAGATTTGCCATTATATAGATACTGTTAAAAATTCTTCAGAAGTCACAAGAGTCTAATTTTTGAGATGAAATACAAAATATTTAGACCTGAGAATAGCGGGCTTTGGTGTTAAACAAAACCTTTTTACAATAGTTTCTAGCAATAGTAAACAGGCATCTGTTTTCTGGAGAATTGTTTTAATGATAAATATGGAAGTATTGATTTCGATTTGAAATTACAGCAGCACATTGTGAGAAAACCCATGGAGAAAAGTAAGGCTTAACTTGGAATCTTCGAGAGGGAATAAAGGATTCCATGCCAGCCTGAAGTCAAGAAGTTATGTAAGAAACACATTTGTCAGCAGGAAAACAAAAGATTTCTACCCAAGGGCCATCACAAAGAAATTACTGAAAGAGTCCCAGTCAGCTTTAAGCTAGTTGTAAGTGGAACAATGATAGGGGGATTCTGGGGATGAAGAAAAATGAGATAATAGGTTTAGAAAGATCAAAGCACCTAAGGGTGAATGTGGAGAAACTGAGCACTGACTAGGATCAGAAACAAGACATAAGTTGAGTAGAGAAGATAAATGATTATGACTGTCATGAAAAAGAGTTGGAAAATTAACTATTTGTGTTGGAGAATAAGAAAAGCAAAATTTATGGGCCTTAACGCCTGCAGAGTCACTGACACTAGAGCCATTCAGTGTTATGAGCATTAAAGTCACTAACAACAACAATATTGGCTGAAGGATAAATAAAAAGGGCTTGGTCAATTTGATCAGAAATAATATCAAAAAAAGTGCAGTTGAAGGAGTGCAATATAGAACAAAGAGCAAGTTTGCCTGGTAAACATTACAAGAAATAAGACTCAACAAAAGAAAAGTTACTTCAAAGACCACAAATATTAATAAATGATAGATTTAAAGAACTTGGTGATGTCAATGGTTTTTTGTGTTTTATAGCTTTTATGGAACTTTAATCATTTTTAAATCTGTTAAAGAACTTGACTCAAAGCAGAGATAGTACTCAGTACACTATTTAATAGTCTAAGCAATTGCCTCAATACTAATATTAAACCCTAAGCCATAACAAAGGGCTCTAAATGTGGCCTTGACAATGCAAACCAAAAGAAAAAACAGGGACACCATCCATGCGCAACATGGCGCTGTTAGTACTGATATTTTACAGCAGTTGATGAAATTAGCCTCTCTGAGAGCTATCACAGAGTTCTGTAAAACTGACTACCAGCCAGTCTCAAAACCATAAAACTGAGTTTAAGAACTTTACCCTCATTAGGAGATAGTAGAATAAGTTGCCTATTCAGAGACATAGGCAAAACTCATGCATTGAGTCATAAAGATCCAGCATTCAATATCCTAAACTGGAAACAATGTATTATAAATAAATTACCAGCCTAATAAATGAAGAAGGGGTGCAAGGCTGGTCAACAGATAGAATCTGTTTACCCCTTAAGTCTTTGCCTAGAAGGACATCTACAGAACAGTAGCAGGATGCATTTAACATTTGCCCAAGAAAAGTATTTTTATCAAGACAGTATCTGTAGCCATTTACTCAACCAGGAACCCCACACAGGGGGTGTTTTAAGTCAGAGTTAGCTTCTTCTAGCCTATGCCTAAAAAAGGTGGATCCTACAAGGCAGCAGGACATGAAACAGGATGTACTGGGTTACATGTTACTAGTAGCAGGATAACCTGACGTGACAATCGCTGATCAGGTCAGTATAACCTGACCTGACAAGTTTTGTATAAAAAATGTAAAGTTTAAAATATGAAGTTTTATACTAGACTGAATTTACTAATAATATTAAAACATTTAAAATAATTATAAAATAAATGCACAAAAAATATAGGTTGAACAAAATGACTGGTAAATTATGTATTATACCAGACAAAAGTGCCAGACAATGTCTGATTTCTGGCGGCTATTTTGAGCCCTGGTATAGTGTAATGGTACTCTAACACTACATGTTTAATACTTTCAATCATTATTCAAATAAACGTATACATTAATTTAAACAGTTAAAATAACCTTTATTTCAACAGTATTTTTTAGTTCTATGAAAGCTGCTGATGATTGGTTTAAATATTCTGATTTCCAAACTTCATTTAACTTTAAAAAAATTTTTGTATTTGAAGTATCTAAAAACATTTTTTTTAAAAGCAAACTTTTAAATAAAAAATACAAATATCCAATAACTCACAACTATTATATCAAAAAACTAAAACGGCAAAAAACTAAAACGGCAAAAAATTACATGGAAGCAGAACATCAACTTGGGCACTTCTAATTTCTTTTAAAGAATACCCATTTATGTTTATTGCACATTGATAATAACCTTGGTCATAATATGTTACACCTTCTATTGCTAGATTATTCATTTTATACGTATATGGTGGATTGAAATATTCTATATTACTAGCCAAATTAGCAGCTGTATATATTTTAATTGAGTCATCTTTAATAAAGAAAACATCTTCATAGTTAAGCGCATAGTAGGTATCAAAACTACATCCAATGATATTTATGTAAACCAAACTTGAAGTAGTCAGTATAGGTTTGTTCAAAAACATTGGTTCTGAAAAGTTAATTAAACAATTTGATTTATTTTATAATTGACATTAGATTTTTTTCGTTTACATTTAAATAAATTTTACCTGGTTGTTTCGGAATAACAAAAGCATCTGACTTAAATTCTCGATCCATTGTTTTATTATTAAATATAACACATTGGTATGACCCAACCATGTTGTAGTTCACAATTTGAAGTGGCGGTACTTCATATTGACCAATCTGAATTGGCAATACATTATATTGAAAATTTCGATTTTTATATGAATTAAATGTTTCAAACTTTATATTTCCATTGAGTAACCAATACGAAAAAGCAGAAAGATCCTCATCAGCATTATATTTGCAGTTAAATAATGAGGCATAATTATTTATGTTTTGAAATTGAATTTGTGATACAAACACAACAGTTTGGGCTGAAAATCAAAAACACAAATATAGAAAAATACTTTTTTATATGAAATATTTAAATTTTAAAAGTACATAAACAATTTTTTACCCAAAACTTTGACTATAATTTTATCTGAAAACACTGGTTGCACCATTTGGTCTACAGCTTGAACTGCACATTGGTAAACTCCACTATCAGATAAAGTAGTTTTATTGATTTGTAAAACAGGAAACAATAAAGTTAGTATTCCAGCAGCTTGCGATGGACTTGGATTGTCAGTTGCATTAATTCTTAATACTCCATCTTTAATCCAAAATATATCTTCCTTTGTAATAGAAACAGTAGAAATTTGTGATATTAATTGACATCTAGGAATGCTTGATACTGAACTTGCTTTAGCTACAATAGTAGAATTCATCAAAGGAGAAAATATAAAATCTAAAATAAACAATTTTTAAAAATAAAAAGTGCAACAAGTATTGCCAATATAATTTAAAACTTAAATTGTCAAATAAATTTTTATTTCTTCTCATTCCCAGTATTTTGTTTTTAAAGCTAATTAATTTGCATTGAAAGGTTATTTTTGAATAAACTAAAAGTTAAAAAACTACAAAAATAAATTAATAAAATGATTATTGAAATGTAATAAAACTAACATTTAAAATAATTTATCTATTTTGAAGTTTGATCAGCGTTCTTTTAAGATTATGTATTTAATCTCACTATTGTTGTATTGTCTTCTTATTACAGCTGCTGCAATAATACTTCACAGCTCATATTTATAATCAAGCGTTATAATCAAAATAGTTGAAAGTGTCTGGCAAAGTTTTTAAAGCTGTGTGTTTGCTCCATTTCACTTCAAAACACCTTATATATGCAGTAAAATCTAATACCTATGATTTCATTTTGCCAACCCTTGATACCATAATCATATAGAACTTAACAAAAGTTAATCTTTCACTCTCCCACCATTACCATCACAGATTGATTTACTGAAGTTTTTTGCAAAGAAAAATCAATAGTATTTTATAGCAAAAATGTGTTGATTTTGCCATGTATTCATGAAGTGTTTGCAGTTTTTATATTAGCAAACTAAACACCTAACTAAAAATTGATAAAAAATTTGATTTCCCTAAAAAACTATATGTTCCTTGTAATGTCCTCATCCATTAATTTCATCATATGTACCTCAAATACAGAAGTTATCAGAGTCCTGAAACATTAATTCACATTTGCTTTACTTTTGAGAATGTAAGAATGAAATGTAAGTTTTTCTAACATATCAAAGCACCAATGAAGCTACTTGTGGTTTCAATTATTAAAGCAATGAATCATTTTGCACAATATGAGCAAAAGTTACAAATAAAAAGTCTGCTTGTAAAATTAGCACACACCTCTTGAATTTGAGAGAATCAAATGCTTTTGCATGTGAGATCTTCAAGGTATTTAGAAAAAAAAATTTTACCAGGGATTTTTGCTGCTGTTTTTATTATTACTGTTTTACAATAAAACTTTATAAGTTCATCAGATTTATCAGTTATCTTTATAAGTTTATCAGGATTGGCCTATATCCTATTTTAACTGTTATTTTATAACAATCTTATTTAATGAGAGATTTTAAATGACAAAAAAATGCATTTTAAGAGAACTTATACCATAAAAATCTTTCTTTCAAAAAATGTTTTGCAATAAGTCTATTATCTTCATCATCATAAACTAAGTTGGTTGTTTTAATTACTTTACATTATAAATGATGTATAAAATTTTGTATAAAACTTGAGATACTGGAATCCTTTACATCATTTAAGAATAATAAGAATAACTTTTTAATGATTCACTTCCAACAAGGCTGCAAGCAATCACTATTAAAATGAGAGTTAATAGAAAACAAATAATAATGTTAAAGAGCAAGGAAATGATTGACAGAAGATTTAAAAAGTTTAGGTTGTATGAGTCACAAAAATAAATAAGTTTTGGTTGATGGAAGTGGAAATGATAGCTCACTTGAGCAACAAACATAATAGCATTTACAGATAAAAAAAGTGATGCAACTTGATGACAATGGGACAGTCGCAAAAATGATTACAACTTCCACAAGAAGCTGAAAACCAGTAAGCACAAGGAGATAAAACCATGGAGTATACTTAGATTTGACTTGAAACTGACAAGAAGGAATAAAAGCTTCCATACCTGCCTCGTTCCAGGAGATTATGTAGAAGACGCATTTATTAGCAGAGATAAAAAAGACATCAGCCTAAGGGCTGTAAAGAAAAAAATCATTAAAAAAATCCCAGTCAATTTTAGGAAAGTAGTAAGTAGTATGATGATAGGGTGTCTGAAGAAGTACAAGATAAAAAACTCAGAGATATCATTACATAATCAGAACTACCTGAATGATAATAAGGATAAACTGAACACAAGCTAGGGTCAGAGACAAGAAAAATCAAGCAATGAAGGTATGTGATTATGGTTAGCTGGAAAAAGTAAAAGATTAAGAAATACAGAAGTTGTTGACACTACTGACCCTGTTTTAGTGCAGGCAGGGTAGTAAGTGACCATGGTCCCCGGCCTCGGCTAAAAATGAGACTTCTTGCAAATCCGGCTCTGGCAAAATTGTAAGATTTAGCAGAGGTTGATAGCCGGGGCTAGAAATAAATTTATAATTCTTTATATATTATAATTTTATACTTACATTTACTATTTATTAAATTCTGGCATATATTTATGCCAGTTTTTATTAAATAGGAATAGATACAGTAAATAAAAAGGTAATTTAAGGTTTTTATAACTATTTATACATCAAATTCAAAAAATGATTAGAAAGAAGAGAAGGTTAAATACGTTTAATTATAATTTAAAGAAAATGTTTCCTTTCTTAACTCAGATCAAAGATGAACTCCTCAAATATATTATTTGTCAAAGCCTATTTGACATTAGTAGTTGTGGACGGTCTGAAATTAAAGACCATTGCAAATCTATTAAACACAAAATGGAATTGGTTGCTTCTATATTGTCAAACAAAATCACAAAGTTGATGAAGAGTCAGAGCTATGGTCAAAATGAAAAAATATTAGTCATTCAAGAAGGAACAATTGCATTCCACACAATCAAGCACAACCATATCTTTAGAATTCATTCAATCATGCTGATTGCACATCAAAGCTAATTAAGAAATTTTGTAATCCAATATTATAAAATTTCTTGTGCGCGTACAAAATGTGAAGCAATAATTGTAAACGTGTTGAAGAAATATTGTGAAACTAACTCAGAAAATGCTTTAATAAAAGCGTCATATGTGTCAACTCTTTCTGATGCATCAAACCACAAAGACGTTAAAATGTATCTAATTTTGGCTCGTTATTTTGATGTTAAAGAGGGAGTGCAAATTCAGCTGATTAACACGGATTGTGAAAATGGAGAAACATATATTTAATCAGAAGTTATCTTTAAATGCATTAGTGCTAACAATATTTCTTTAAAAGTTTTGGCTATTTGTGCAGACAGCATCAATACCAATATTGGAGGTTTAAAACGAAATGGTTATAACAATACTCACAAAAAATTGATTGTTAAGCTAAACCGTGGAGTTATTGGTATTGGTTGCTTTTTCAATAAAAAAATGGGTAAAATAGTATTGTTTTTTGTACACAGTTAAGCCAATGTTCTTTAAAACTCGGTAAAAAAAATTGAGAAAGATGGCGTTTCTGCTGCTGAAGTTGCCATAGTATTAAAGGATTTGAAAGACCATATAAAATCTAAAAAAGAAGAAAATTTTCTACTTTTCATAGTAAGACAGCGTTTGCAAGTTAACAAAGAAAGTATCATTTGAAAAACCAATTTCTGAAAGAAGTAGAAATATTCTAGAGTATGTAGATAAGTGGAAGCATCACTTTAATCGGGTTGAAGTTTTTAAATGGTCTTTACTTAACTGTAAAGTTAAATGGATTGAAATTATTGAAACTATAACTTTTTTGAAAAAAACAATAGGAATCACATTCGATGATAATGAATTGTTCAACGAAATTTGGAGGACTAATTTTTATTGCGCAAAGGAAAAGTTTTCTTCTTGGAACTCACAGTCTGTTAAATGTGACAAGCAATGGGCTAAAATTTTTTCTCATTTCGAAAATAATAACGTTCCTTATAGCAATTTGTTAAAATTAGTATAGGCAGCTCTACGTTTGCCAGGCACAAACACTTCCATAAAACAATTGTTTTCAATTGCCAATGGTATTTGGACGGAAGGGAAATCCAAACTCAAAATGAAAACTTTGGCAGCTGTTTTGTTTGTTAAATTTAATTTAAGAAAATATTGATGTTGCTGGAAACATTTTATTCTTATGAAAAATATTTGTGACTTAAAAATGAAAATATTCTTTAATATTTTTTCAATAAATTAGTTTCTTCACAATTATATTAAAATTATTTAAAATAAATAAACAAGTTTTTATTAAAACCCATTTAAACCAGACCTGTAAGTAGGGCGGGAGTGAGGGGCCATGCTCTCTCCTGCGCTTTGTTCTATTTTGAGAACATTTCAAAAAGAAAAAAAAAAAAGCACAAAAGATTAATTGGACCAATGAGAGACAATTACAAAAAAAAAAAAAATAGGCAAATAAAATATCTTTAAACGCGAAAAAACCTAATGCTAAACAAATTACGTTTATAACAAGTTTTTTCGAAACATCGCTCTTTTATAATTTTTCTTATAAAATTAGGTGATGTTTTTTATATAAAGCATCATCTTACGATTGTTTAAAAAGGAAACAAATATTCTTTATTAAACAAAGTTTACAAGTTTTAGTGTTATTTAAGCTAAATTATTTTATAAATAAAAAAGTTAATTTTTTTAATACCTATTTTATGTTTCGTGTAGTTTGAAAAGTTCAACATATTTAAAGCAATTCTTCTTAGTAAGATAAACAAATGAAATAATTAAATCATTGAATTACTATAGAAATTAAATTAACAAGATAGAAATCAACTAAAAAAGTTAAAAATACTTTATGACGAGGAAGCGAAACTGATTCACAATATCGCTGATGTTTAGTGAGTGGCCTTTTTAATTTTAATTAGTATTTGAAGCAGAAAAAAGTATAACGAGTTTTTAAGAATGGCAACTGAAGCGAAAATAATTAGAGTTAGTAAACCAATATCTAGAAACTTTTCTTTATATCTAATTATTTGCTATATATATTTGTGTTCTGTCGTGACCTCAGGCGTGGTACTTGTTTTTGTTTAGTAACCAGAAACTTCATATATGTTTGTTACATAATTAGTTTTATTAACTTTAATGATTATAACTTCATTGAAAACGCAATTATTTTTGTAAGTCTTTGTTTAAATCATAAAAATTGCTTTAAAAGATACATTACAATAAAAAACAGATACACAAAATTACATTTACAGAAAAAATTCATACTTTTTAAATAAAAAATAAGAATATACTAATAAAATCAATAATTTATAATAAACTTTTAAAATTTTGACAATTTAATTAATATTTATTTAAAACATTTATTTTTATAAACAAACAATATACGATTTATGCTGGAAATCTCAAAACGTAACAAATCGTGAATAATACAATTTCTAAAACATTTCAACAGAATACTCTAGAACTTTATTTTGCTTAGTCAGCGTATTTTTTCAACTAATATCATTAGTTTGTTCGTTAATTTGGCGGGTTTTTAATGTTTGCGAATATTCTTTTTATTCTTTCACACAAAGATGTTTTAAGAACATTTAAGTTTTTTATGTTTCCATGTATGTCCGTAAAACAAAAATTTTTTGTTTCGTAAATAAACTTAAATGTTCTCAAAACGACTAAAAAACCTGGCCAGTTTTTCGCAACCAAATATAATTTCCTTGGTCAGTATTCGAGAGCGATCGCTCCTGCTTCCCAACCAAGCCTGCAAAAACTGTTGGTACAACACAAAAAAAGGGCAAGGCAAAACTGTCTTGAAATATAAAAAATATAAATAATCATTTTATTAAATTTATGCAAAATCTTATCAAAAAATAGGTGAATATAGACGGTAAAAAAAAATGCCCTTGGGCGCCTTTGATTTTATTTTATTTTTGGTGCCTCTTAAAAAAGCGCTCCCTCTTTAAAGAAAAGATATTTAAAAAAATACCATTTGTATTTATACATACCAAATTTATTCTTTGTACGCATCTGGTATTTTTCAAATATGGTCACTTTAAAAATAGTGCAGTCTTGAGAAAGAAAAGAATGATGAAGAGCAAAAAGAAAAGTGATTGGATAAGGAGGTGCTAAATGTAGGCACATAAATGAATGGTGAAGATTTAAACTTGGTTTCACAACAAATGGGTGAATTGATGTGTAAATATATGCCTAAGTGAAGCATGTGATTGTTTGAGTCTTTACGAATCAAAGGATAGCCATCAAAATTGAGATCTGGAGAAGAAACAGACAAGTTTAAATTAGCAAGTTAGTCTGGTAAATTTTGTAAGAGATTGATAAAAAGTTGATAAATTTGCATAAGATTGATGAAAAGTTACCTTAAAGATCACAAATATTTGTAAAAGTTTTTATGAACGTAAAAGGTTTTATGAATATTTGTTTAGTTTAAACAGTTAGGTGGTGGTAATGGTTATTAATGCTAAATACTTTTAGGTATTTTAGTCATGTTTTAAATTAAGAGAAAATGACTCGTATAGATTGAGAATGGCACCCTAAGCAATAGACTATATAGTTGCCTAGTTCCTGCTAATTAACCAAAAGTCATAAATAAGAGCTTCTAAAGTGGCCTCAACAATGCACACTAAAATTAATAACAAGAACATCATCCATGCACAACTTAGCAATTATACTACACTTGTAATTTTAATGCTGCTGATGGAATCAGCCTCTCAGAGAACTACCTCAGAAAACCTTACTAAAAGCAGCCTCAAAACCATTGAACTAAGTTTTAGAGCTGCAGTCTCATTAGGAGATAAGAAGAAAAGTTGCATAACCACTATCAAGGAGGCACAAGCAAAAATCCATGAGTAGAGTCAAAAAATCCAAAAGCCAAAAGGCAAGAAGCAATGTAAAATAGATTTAAATCTATGCCAGGTTTATAGATGAAGAAGGGGTGAACCAAAAGGGTGCAAGGTTGGTCAAATGAATTATTATGCTTACCTTTAAGTTTTGGCCTTCTACAAGAAAGAAACTGAATATAGTTAATATATGCTCAAGATGAGTAATATTACTGAGTCAATTATTTATATGAAACTTTTTCTATATATTTGTTTTCAGAAGAAATTATTTTTACGTTATTAAAAACAATTTAATATACTTTTTGATTATTTTTAATTACTTTTATTGTAAAAAAACCAAGTTTAAACTTTTATTTTCATCACATTATGGAGCCAAATTTTCAAACTGTAATTTATCTAAAAAATTATATGTAGTTAATTTTTTTAATTTAAGATTTGATTTTGTAGTGTTTTAGTCATTATTTTTGAATTATTTGCCCTAAAAAATTGTTAGGGACCAAATTTTCATGAACATTGTACAAATATTACATAAGTTAAAGCTACTTGTATATATATATATATATATATATATATATATATATATATATGTATATATATATATATATATATAGAGATATATATAGAGATATATATATATATATAGAGAGAGATATATAGAGATATAGATATATAGAGATAGATAGATAGATAATTAGATATAAACACTTACCAAAACATTTATTGTATATGTAAAGAAAGTCAGGATCAGGTATGCCACAAGAGGAGTATGTTCTATTGAATTTAAAATATGATTGTAAACATTGTTTATTCATAGACGAACACAAAGACCAGTCAGTAATAAATGCAACTATGACTGTACTTCTAGAAGGAACTGGTAAAGTTTCCGTTGAAGTTATTATGTTCAAAGTCACTTTTAAGGTATCTCCAACACTATATATATAATTTAAAGGAGTAGACACATTTTGAACTAATTTAAAATCCAATATTGTTTGATTAAATAAGAATTCATTATTCATTTTATCTACAATCTTTATAACAAGTGTGGGATTTAGACTAATATTAATACTTTGTGAAGGAATAAAAACTCTGAAACCAACAATATTTAACATCTCTTTTATAATATTTAAATTAAATGTAACATTTGGAAGAGTAGTTGTTTGGGATAATGCAGCTGAATTTATAAAACTACTACAAACACTTGAACCAAACGGATTTAGTATGTAACTCAAAGATTTTGACGTAAAACAAGTTGGTAACAAAAGTTGGACTGTCAATACATACTGAACTATTGCTTGAGTTCCGTTATTTAAATTTATAGTAATAGTATATGTTGAGTTATACTTTGGAGGTCGCACAGTATACCAGTTAGTTAAATAAATGTCACCATTAAGTTGGTTAGAACAAAAATAGTTATTTGGAGGGAAGATAAATCGATAATTAGTACAGTTTTCAGGGCCAGCATAAAAAGTTCCTTGGTCTCCATCAGTAGGTCCATTAACATTAGAAAGATCAAATGTTCCTGTATTGATTGTGACATAATCTTTTCCATATATTAGAACACTAGGTAGCACTGGCAAAGCACTAGAAAAGTTTTTTGATATAACTATACCTGTAAAAATATATATATAAGAATAAAAATAGCACGCAAGAAAAATTAAAAAAAAAGTAATAAAACTTAAAAAGTAATCTTAAATAGGTGACAAAGCTTAGCAGAGCAACAAAAAATATTTTAAGGTAACAAATCAAAGCAAGGTAAAAAATTTATAAATTACAACATTTTTATGATTGTAATACAATTATACAATGTGGTAAACAGGGTACTACATGTACAATTTTGCATGTACAACTCTGCATGTAGTACCCAATTTACCACATTGTATAATTATATTACAATGTCATAAAAATGTTGTCATTTATAAATTTTTTACCATGCTGTGATTTGTTACCTTGTTGTGCAATATGAGGTTATGGTCCAATTATAAGCCACCACAAAATATTTGAATTTTTAGCTTATAATGTTCAATCATCTTAAAAGTAGCTAATGTTCAATCATCATAAAAGTTTTGCTATTGTTAACTCATTTATGAGTTAACAATAATTTATAAATGATAAATAACTCGTTAAACAGCAATAAACACATTTGAAATGTCATTTCACCATTTTTTATAAACATAAACAAATATCACTATTTTCAATAGACTAAATAAAGAAACCAATAGACGGTGCTATTTAATTTAGTCTTTATAATTAAAAAATTATCGTTTTCATTTATCGATTTTGATTTCATTTTTTAATCCACTTCATTAAAAAAAGGTTTATAACGATGGCACCGCGCAAAATCGGTCTATCTGCTCTCTCCGCCTATAACAAAATTGAGCTATCTGCAATCTCCGCGTAAAACAAAATTAGACTATCTGCATTTTCCGCCAGCTTTAATTTTGAACTATCTGCATTCTCCGGGCGTTTAAATTTTCATTGCATGAAGTTATGCGCCTTGAAAAATGTGGTTTGATATACAAATGGCAGATATTATGATAAATGTTGTTACTAGTATATTTCAAATAAGAAAACAATAAATGCATTATTTTTCATCTATTCTTAATATATAAATCTGTTTTTTAACACAGTTTCAACACAAGTTTAAGTTTTAACACAAAGTTTTAACACAAGTTAAGTTTTAACACAAAGTTTAACGTGCCACATTTGATTTTATTTAGAAGTAATTAGTTAACAAATTAATGCAATACTTTTAAATAGTTATATGTTAATGCAAATGAAAAATTTACAATACTTTTAGAACATCATTTTAGCTGCTGAAAAAAGAACAGTCTGCATCTCAATTCTGAAATTAGTAAGCGTATACACATGAATCAATGTGTAGATGATCACAAAACCAACTGTGTATGTTCAATTTAAAATGTACTGGATTAAAAATTTGTTTTACAGTTTTACAAGGCCTATTCGAATACGTGAAACATTGTTTGGTGCTTTTCAAGTTTGTCTATTTTCAACAGAAAAAACAAAAACAAGTAGTGTTACTGTGTTATCTATATTATATACTATATATATAATATAGGCATACTATATAGCTATAGCAGTCAGTCATAACAAATACAAAATATGTTATTGTTTTGGTTAAATGTGAAAATGACAAGTTGGTTTATTTAGTTTCGAAAATTAATTAATTCAAGTTTATTATTGCTATCATCAAATAAAATATGTTAGATCTTAAAAATATGATAGGTCTACAAAGTTATTGATGTTTTAGATAAGTTGTGTTTGTATATTAAAATAAAATTTCTATGTTTAGATAATTAATAAGTTATTAATTATCTAAACATGATTATAATTTAAATTCATATTGTCTATTAAAAATGCAATGATTTAATATATTGGATATACTGTAAAAGTAAAAAAAGCCTGATATTCAGATCAATGTGCCAGTTAATAATATGTTTATTTTAAAAAAGCAGTTGTTTGTTATTTTGTAATTATTTTTTTATAGAAAATATTCAGCTATATTTGATATTATCATAGTTATTAGTATCATAGTAAAAAAATTACAATCTTTTTTTATATATCGTTACATCCCAAAGCCTTGGATATGTGAACATTATCAAATATAATTGGACCAAAATTGTTTGATCATCACAACAGTTATATTAACATCTAGTTAAGTGGTTTAGAGCTCAAATCCAACTGAACCTTATGTTCAGTTTGATTTTGATTCTAATTAATAATAAACCAAATTTAAGATAAGTTGATAATAATAATAATGTTTAACACTCACGCTTGACTTTTAAACCAGTTTGTGTTCAGTTGAGTAGCGTCGTCAATAAAGAAAACTTGGCTTAATTGCGACCCCCTAAGAAAACATGGCTTAATTTACGACCCCCTAATTTGAGTATGGGACAGCTAGGCTGTCCCATACTCAAATTAGGGGTGTGAGTGAGTGTGTTATAGTAGAGATGCAAGAATATTCTAAACTTTTGATACAGTACTTCCTAAATTTACTCCAATACAATACATTTTTAATAATGCTATTGACATATTTTGACGTTTGCTTAAAAAGAATTCAGATCCTTGAAATTTAATATCGGGGCTCAAAATATTGCACAACATTTTTTAAATTTTCAAAGTACTGTTGTAACAATAAAAATCATTATTACAACAGTATATTGAGTAATGAAATAATGAATAATCAGCCACGTATTAATTATTGATAATATTTTAAATACCAAATATGCACTAGCCCCAAACACAATTAAGACTCGAATGCAAAAAAAAACCATGAGCCTTAAATTATGGATTTTCAACAGAAATAAAATAGAGATTACAAACATTTAAATCAACGCGCAATAAAGTTTAAATAAGTAACCTGTCTCTGATACAAAATTCAATTGCTATGTGACTGTGAGTAATTATAAAATACTATAAAGAATTATATATATATATATATATATATATATATATATATATATATATATATATATATATATATATATATATATATATATATATTGCAGGTTCTACTAGACTAAAGCAGCAGAAAAAATGCTAAGATCCCGTGGGCCACACAGTTTTTTATGAGTTGCTTGACAAGAAAAACGTTTTTATACACAAACCTAAAAAAGATCAGTGTGACATTTGCTCTGAAATTCGAGAAAAGTGATGTGTTTGCTTCGATATTATTTTATCAATTAGTAGATTATAAAGAAAAAAAATCCAAACTTAAATAAAGTGACAATATATTCTGACAGCTGTACCTATCAAAATCGTTGTACTGCTATAGCAAATTCACTTCTTTTATTTTCATTTTTAAAATAATTTAATAATTGAACAGAAATATTTGGAAAAAGGACATACCCATATGGAAAGAGACAGTGTACACGCAAAAGTTTCTTTTCCAAAGTATAAAGTGAAGTTTCTCAAACATGGTTTTTTTAAAACTTTTTCCAATATTAAATATTACACAGAAATCAGACCAGGTTGTAAAAAGGGTGATGCAACAGTTACAAACATAAGATGTCTGAAATACACTCCAGAGCCAAAAATATTTTATAAATTAAGTTACTCGTCCACTGAAGATTACAAACCTCTTTCGCAAAATCTTAACATTAACACGTCAATTGAACTTATTGACACTTATCAATCCAGAATTTCGATAGGAGAATCAAAATATAAAGACTTGATGAACCTTAAGACATTTGTGAGGAAAACTGCTTGAGAATTCACCGCCGATTTGCCTTATAACCCCAAACTAACAACTTAAATGATTTCCGCATAATATACTTTTGATGTTATGTTATATTGAAAAAATTTATTTATGGCAAAGTTTACAGTGCTGGATTTTTTTTGCCCAATAACAAATTTAAAAAAAGTACAAACCAAATTTAAAATGGGTTTTTTTAAATTTGATTTGAAAGAAATAAACCCTTAAATCATTCTAGATATAAAAAATAATTCAATAGCTGAGAAATATCTAATGGGCATAAAAATGCTTAAAGCATTGCCTATAGCATTGAAATGTCATCTAAACCCAACACTGTTAATTAGCACATTAAATTAATTTAGCATTATTTATAGTTTATTCAACTTTGACTATTTTTGTCATCTTATGTAAAAAATTTGTTTTTAGAAACGTTTAGGATTATTTTCAAAATCCAGGGGTCATCCCCATCCTACTAGAAAATCTTTTTCTTTTACTTATATACAATAATATTGTTTATTAATTTATTTTTAAGTAATTAGAACTTTTTCTTTTTTAGTTTAAAATTGTTTTTCATTTACAATTTGTTTATATAATACCGTTTCTATAACATCAAAATTTCTTTTTTTTAACATTTAAGTTTGTATGTTGACAGAAAATATTTATGTTTTAAAGTAGATAAGGTTTATATGACTGAAAAAAAAATTACATTTATGAATTTACATATATTTACATTTATTAATTTAATTTTTAAAAATATTTATTTGCTACAAGAGTAAAGTATTTGTGCATTTAAACATGGTGAGACTCCCCATGGTGAGACTCCCCATGGTGAGACTCCTTCGTCCTTAATGATCTGATAAGAATCTGATAAGTAAAGATATAAAAACTGTATTTACATGTAGTTAAAGATATAAATATAAATAAATTTTTTAATATATTATTATTATAACAAGATAAAAAAATGATATCATCAAAAACAGTCTAACTCGCACAAATTAGAAATGTAAAATTGAGAAAAAAACTTTATTAAAATAAATATCAAACAAATATCAAAACAAACTTAAGACAATTTTGTATCACATAAGAAAATAGACATATTCAAAAATTGAACTTAAACTTAAAACTAGTTATTATATATATATATATATATATATATATATATATATATATATATATATATATATATATATATATATATATATATATATATATATATATATATATATATATATATATATATATATATATTGAAAGTTTTCTACATATATCAAAAGTTTTCTGAGAATAAACATAAGCATTACTTGCAAAGTAACTTGTACTGTTAATTTGTATTTCTATGTAAATCCACAAGTTGAACCGTCACATTTTCCTGCCCTATTTTTTCAAAACTGAAAATC